GGTTTGTAGGTACTACCACAAAGTAACATTGAAGGCTTGGTCTAACTGACAGATTACCAAAATGATCAATACAGTAGTAGTGGCAGATGCACTGAGACCACAGTCTGACATTAATTACATCAACTGACTCAACCAGTATTTATTGCATGCCTTCTATACACCATGCACAGGGAAGAATAACAGTGAATAAATAAGATCCCTGCTCCCAAGAAACTTCAAGTCTAATTGCAGAGAACAATTTTTTAAGACTTCATAAAGTAAATCCAGACATCAGTTATTTCATGAAACATTTATTAAACCCCTGTTATGTGTCAGGTATTGTCCTAGGATAGGTACGCAGATATAAACAGGACACGATGGCTGCCCAAGGGAAGGTTTCACAGGGAGGAAGTCAAGAGAAAATCCATGACACCAGAGTACTGTAGTATTTAACATGATTAACTGACATGATGAGTTTTGAAGTCAGCATTAAACAAGAGAAAAACTACTAGAGATCTTGCTTGATAACAATGTGCCTTTGTAAAAACTGATCATTTTGAAACAACTCCCACATGTTATTTCATTTTATTCCAATAACAAGCTTATTAAGTTCAGTAAAACAGATGTACTAGACAGGAGGTGAGGAAACAAAAAAGGCTGTAACTTGCTCAGAGTCATATTAAGTGACAGTAAAGCTGGGACAAGAAACTCCATCTTTTGCTCCAAAGTCCAATGCTCTTCCCTTTTGTTCTGACTCCATACCTCACCATTATGACCTTGGACAAGTCACCTGGCATTTCTTTGTCATAGTTTCCTCACCTACAAAACAGGGAGAACACCTGCAGTACCTAAAGTAACTTGGGGGAAGGATCAAATAAAGTGACATAAGTCAACATACTTTAAGATGTACAAAGGCAAAGTACACACTATCAGGCATGCCTTGTTTCTCTTAGGGAAAACAGGGTACAGGGTGCCAAAATACTGAGTAAATAAATGAACCATGCTGGATTTTCAAGCACAAATTGCTCTCAAGGTCACCCGTATAACTTTATGACAAATAAAGACAGAAGGGTTATAGTTCACATTTCTGTTGTAGCCTCAGTGACTCTACAAGGCAAATATCAATCAAGTTTCATCAGAAAGGAATGTGTTCACCTATATACCAGATTCTGCTGGGGATCCTATCAGACAACTGAATCACAAGAAAGAAATACAGGTTGTGCCTGTATTCCTCCCTAAAAGGGTAAACAGGTAGTTTTTGCTAGTCTGTCAAAAAAAAAAAAAAAAAAAAAAGGCATGAATACTACGAACACCCTGCCCGCCTCCAACCAGCACCCACACTTTTCATCCTTTATGTCTCAGACCTGCTCTGTCCAATACAGTAGCCATTTCCACATGTAACTACTCACATTTAAATTACAAATTCGGTTCCTCCTTTACACTAGTCACATTTCCAGTGCTCAGTACTCACATGTGGCTAGGGGCTACCATACCGGACAGTGCAAAGATAGAATAATTCCATCACTACAGAAAATTCTACCCAGCAGAGCTGCCTAAGATACCACACTTCTATTGTTATTACAACTCTAACTAGACTATAGACTCCTTGAGGACAGAGCCTGTGTCTTATTTATTTTGGTATTCTCAGGATATAAAGTACATGTCACACAATAAGCATTCACTATACATCCAATTGAATATCTCAAACATAGACTACTCTGTCATTTCCCCCACCCCAAAACACACACACACACACACACACACACACACACACACAATATAACAAACAAAACATCCTCTCACGTGGGGTACGGAGGTGGAAGGAAATCCTGCGTGCAGAGGAAGGAACCTGCTTTCTAGCCCGATGTACTAGAACCTAACCATGTAATCTTGGGCAAACTACCTACTTTCTTCATGTCTAAAAAGTTAGTATTAAACTCCAGGTACTTTAATTCTAAAACTTTAATCATCTTGTACCAAAAGAAATCGTGTATTCTATCCTAAAAAGGTTTTTACACGTCAGAAAACACATCTGCTAACACTGAAGAGTATCTCAAATTAAACAGAATCCATTTCTAAGTCTCAGGCTATCTTGATTGCAGCCACTTTTGGTCTTTAAAGAATACGTGAAATATTTCACCTTTACTCTGGATATCAATTACAGAGTAAAACCTCAGGCTTAAAGATTGAGTTTCTTCCATGCGTTGAGGCCAGAACTGGATACTCTGTTCATATCTGATCAGAGAGAAACAAGGGCAAGTTTCTTGAGTATCTGAATTTAACAAGAATTGTCCCATCAGTTTCTCTATTAGCTTTAGCCTAAAAATTGACATAACAGTTCAAAATGGAACCAAGAGAATCTTTCTATAACAACCCTTATCCGGTAAAGAAAGTCTTTTTTTTTTTTTTTTTTTAAGATTTTATTTACTTATTTGACAGAGATCACAAGTAGGCAGAGAGGCAGGCAGAAAGAGAGGAGAGAGGAGGGAGCAGGCTCCATGCTGAGCAGAGAGCCCGATGCGGGGCTCGATCCCAGGACCCTGGGATCATGACCTGAGCTGAAGGCAGAGGCTTTAACCCACTGAGCCACGCAGGCGTCCCTAAAGAAAGTCTTTATTAAAAACGTACATATTTTTAGTCCACATACCTCACTATATTTTTTTTTAAGATTTTCTTTATTTATTTGACAGAGAGATCACAAGTAGGCAGAGAGGCAGGCAGAGAGAGAGGGGAAAGCAGGCTCCCCACTGAGCTGAGAGCCCGATGTAGGGCTCCATCCCAGCACCCTGAGATCAAGACCTGAGCTGAAGGCAGAGGCTTAATCCACTGAACTACCCAGGGACCCCTACTTCACCATATTTAAGTGCTATAAAAAAATCTTTATTGTCCAAAAACCTCTTCATAATGATCTTCACACACATATTCACTCATTCCCTTTTATAAACTTTAAGTGGTTCGAAGACTAGCCAAGAACAAATACAATCTGAATTACTGGCCTGCCTTTCTTTAAAATCAGTAAATATGCTGGGCAATAGCAGTTCAGTTATTCTAAAATAAATATATACTAAGTTTGTCAAATCCTCTGACATCAAGGTTTTCATCTTCATTAAGTACTACTTGTATCATCTCTCCTAGTGAACAGGATGAACTACCATCGACAGCCAATTCCGTCTACTAGCATTTACTGAGTACCAATGAGGTAATAACATTTAGTAAATGACAACTACACACTATTTTGGACAACGAGGTAGGGAACATATGCAAAGGCCTAAGGAAAATTAAAGGTCTCCACTGCAGAACTGATCGTATCTGATTATGATAAAATCAGATTTAAAAAAAAATTGACCAATGCTAATTACATATCATCCTACATAGTGCCATGCCAGTGTAAGAATTCAATGTGTTTGTCCAACTGCTAGATGGATAAATTAATGACCCTAACTAGAGTGTTTCCAACCAAAAAGAACAAAACTCTATGGGCTAAGAACTACCAAACACCTTTTGCAAAAATGGAAATAGAGAAGAATCTGTTTGCAGCGTGAAGTCTAGGTCATAGAATAGACTCAAACATGCCAATCTCTAAAACCAGTGTAAGTCTGTATCAAAACACTGGAAGGAAGAGAGATAATATAGTTCAAGTTGCTCATAATCCAGAAGAGACAGAAAAGCAACACAGACAAAGAACTAGTAAATTCCATTATGATGATGCTAAACAGCACATAAGAACGACCCAGGGTAGTTGAGTGTCACAGACACAGGCATCCTGAAGGGCATGTGGGGAGTTAGGCAGCCAGAGACTGGAAGAAAAAGCTCTGTGCACATGTGCAAGAGAGAGCAGAAGTGTGTGCATTTGAGTGGAGTGGGGACAAAGCATGAATAGCCTAGGCAGGAGAACAGCATATGCAAAGATGACCCAGAAGTTAAAGACATTAGACCCATGAGTACTGTACATTCAGGAAAACTGCAAACTAACAGTTTTACATGAGATGTATACACTGTAAAGGTACAGCAACTCAGAAATCCTGTAGACAAAGTCACTTTTCATCCAAGTGGTTTTCACAAAGTGGAGTAGTCACTGGGCCTAAAGATACCATCTTTGCAAGTGCAACCTGCATTTTTAACAAACTCCCAGATGATTCTCCTACACACTTAAACTGGAGGCACACTGAGACGTCTTCTGAGATACAGGACTACCCACCCCAGCACTTCCCAAAGTTTGCTACACACTGGAATCACATGGGACTCCTTAAAAAATACTGGTTTGGCTTCCTCTCTCCTTCCCCTCAAACATTCTGACTTAATCAGTCTGGGTGTGCTGCCTAAGGTTCGGGAATCTTTGAAAATGGCCCCAGGTGACTTCAACGTGCAGCAAAGTTGGAGAGCCACTGACCTAATTGTTAAGAACTTCAATCTGGAGTCAGGCTGCCTGAGTCCAAATTACCAGCTATGCGACCTTGGGCAAGTAAGTCACCAAACCATTCAGAGCCTCAGTTGCATCGTCAGTAAAATGGGGATAACCATCCTACCTTACACGCTTGTTGTGAAGTTAGATGTGGTGAACGTAATGGCCTAGCACAATGCCTGGCATATAGTGAGCGCTTAACAAGGGTTAGCTGTTTATCCTCGTTATTAACTCTTCCTCACCCGGCTGTCATTGTGCAATGGGTAGCATCATCCCCACAGGGCGGCAGCAACTCAAGCAACCCTTCTGCTAAACCAAATTCCTCGCCGGAGTTGTCTAGCTTCGCTCCTGACCCGCCCCCCTCCCCCAGGTTGCCAGGAGAGCGCATCGCCCGGCCCAGGGAGCTCCCAAGGGCCAGACTGAGTCCGAACAGACCCGATAGAAGCCGCCGACTCCCAGCACCCCCACCCCGAGTTAGGTCGGGGCTCTGCCGGACCCCGCGAGTCCCCCGAGAAAGGCAGAGTCGTGGTTCCGAAGGCAGGGATTTGGTCGTTTCGGGACCGCCCGGAGGGGAGGAGAGGGGAGGGTCCGGCCGCGACGGGGAGGGCCCTCCGGTTACCTGAGGCGACGGGCGGGGCCCGCATCGCTAGGGCGGGCGCCGCCGCCGCCGCCGCCGGCCGCGCTCGGCCTTCCGCCTCACGCTACCCGCGCCATAGTGCCGGCGCTTTTGCTGCCCAGGCCGGCTATTCTCAGGCGGTCGGTCCGTCCACCCGTCAGCGACTCTCCGAGGGCGCCGGGGGACGACGAAGGCCGGTCGGGCCGGCCGGCTGGGCTCTGCTCTGGCAACTTCCGACTGCCAGGGGCGGCAGCGTCAAATAACTCCCCGAACCGAGTGAACCACCGCGCGTGCGTGGCGCGCCTGATCAGAGACTTCTGCGGGTCCGAAGCCGCGGCGTCAAATAATTCCCGAGACACGGCGCCGGAAGCTGCGCGTGCGCAGCTATCCCAGATCGCCGTGCGGGGCATAGTCCCTCCTTCCTTTCCGGATCAAATGGAGTGGGAGGAGTGAAGTGACGGAGGCGTCTACTTCATCTCAATACCGCCTGGTGGGGGGTGCTCCACCTGCGTCCCTGTGAATCAGTCCAGGCTTCGCTAGTTTTCGGTGCGGATGGATTAAAGGACTTCTGTGCAAGATTCTGACTCCCACCCAGGTTCTAGGAGTTTCTCACTCCCACCGTTAACAGCACCTTTTCTTTGAAATGTTTCCCTTCTCTCACTGCCCCCTTATTACCTGGGCATAGCGTTAACTCTAAGAAATACTCAATTTCAGGCCCGGAACAGACTACAAGGATGAATCAGACATCAGAGCCTCTGGTTAAGGAGCTGAGTCTGACATAGGCGAGAAGACATAAATAGTAATAATAATAGCAGGAGAAACCAGTTTGAGCACCTACGATGCACCGTAGATTTTGTAAACATTACCTCTCTCAATAATTTGGTTTCATCCTCAACGAAGAAGATAATAAATACCCTTAAATGGTACAACTCAAGTGCCTTGGGACTATAAAGGGGGAAACTTGGGCTGAGAGAGAAGAGGTGGGAAGCCACGGCCTTGAGACTGTCCCTGATATTTAGAGATAGGGGATCAGGGTGTTGAGTAGGCTGAAGGCATGGTTGTCTGAGGCTGAAGAGAGCAGAGAAAATGCTGACTCCTCCTTACCTTCAGTTAGGACAGACCACGGGAACTGATATTCTCATAAAGATATGAGTGTTTCCCCAAGACCTTGCCACCTCCCCAACCCCACCCCAAGAAAGTTGTTAGAGGAAAGAGGAATAAGGAGTAAGAATGTTCCAGGACAGGAGTGGGGCTATATCCAGGACACTTTGTGGGTCAAAGCAATGCATTTCAATTAAACACAGTGTGACGAACACTGCCAGAGGCTCACTCAATAGCTATTCCAACCACCTATCCCTTGCCTTTCAGAACTACAGAGACTGGAAAGCAAAGCATACCATTTCTAACCTCCCTTGCAGCTAGGAGTGGCAACACAACAAAGTTTCTGGCCAATAGGATGTAGATAGAAGTCCGAAGGGAGATCTTCCCTTCCAGAGTAAAAAGGAAGTCTTTGGAGACATTTGTGATCTTCACCTTTTCCTTACTTCATTCATGGAATTCAGGCACAACACCTGGAGGTGCTGCAGTCATCTTGAGACCATGAGGAGGACTATGCTTAAGGAAGGTGGAACAGAAAGATAAAAGAAGCATGGTTCTTTAGGACATACTCAAGCAGCTGCACAAACCCTGGACTACCTTCTTGTTTTGTGAGATAGGGAAAATCTTATTTAGATCAGAGTTCGCTGAGTTATATATGTTACTTTCAACCAGACTCATTTCTAGCATACTAAATATTGAATACTTGTACAATATCAGACAGGTAAGGGGCTGTAATGAGGATGATAGATTGAAAGAGCAACAGATGGTAGGAATTGGAAAATTGAGAGATACAGGACTAGGAAGCTGTCTGAAAACTCTTAGGGAGAGGTTGAAAATACATCTAGTTCTCCCTGGTGACTTTAATTCATTTCTGAAAATTCTGACTCTAAGCGAAAGCTGTTAAATGAGGATTATATGTTTCTATTAGTTTTAATGGGAAAACAAAAAAAATGTTCAATTCCAACCCAAGATACCGAAATATTTTAACAGAAAAATATATCAATGGAGTAATGAAGATAAAAATTATATAACAAATTATTTTAAGTCAATAGTATGGCTCTTACATAAAATGCAAAGTGTAAGAACTATTGTACTGTTCAGAAGATAAGATTCAATATTTAGTGGGGGTTGGTGGAGAAAAGATGCAAGAGTCATTCCTTCTTTCTTTTTTATTTAAGTAGGCTCCACACCCAATGTGGAGCTTTGAACTCACAACCCTGAGATCAAGAGTCAGATGCTCTACTGACTGAGCCAATCATGTGCCACAAGAGTCATTCTTTTCATTTATTTATTTGAGAGAGAGAGCGCGTGAGAGAGAATACGAGTGGGGGAGAGTGGCAGAGGGAGAGGGAGAAGCAGAGTCCCCGCAGAGCAGGGAGCCCAAGGCGGGACTTGATCCCAGGACCCTGAGATCATGACCTGAGCCAAGGCAGCAGCTTAACCAACTGAGCCACCCAGGTGCCCCTCCAAAAGTCATTTTTAAAGGTAATACATTTCTGCACATTTTTCTTTTAAATTTTTGAGGGCTTCACTTAAACCAACATAAGAATAAAGTTATAACCTGCGCACACACACACACACACACACACACACACACTTGTGGTGGGGGGAGATCAAACATAACACTTTGAAACATGTGAGGAAAGTGTTTCAGACTGCAACAGACTGAGGAAACATGAAACACTACACAGGGGGAAACCTTATGGTTTCTCCAGACACAGTGCCCAATTCAAACGTGTTCCACATCATAATTTCTAACTAGAAGAGTAGAACAAATTGGGAGTCTCTTCTTCTGAAACTGTTATGTCAAAAAAATCACTTTGCATTGTGTACTTATTTACTGTGTATTAAAAGGCGTTGCAGGGTCGCCTGGGTGGCTCAGTTGGTTAAGCAGCTGCCTTCGGCTCAGGTCATGATCCCAGCATCCTGGGATCGAGTCCCACATCGGGCTCCTTACTCAGCAGAGAGCCTGCTTCTCCCTCTGCCTCTGCCTGCCACTCTGTCTGCCTGTGCTCACTCTCTCTGACAAATAAATAAATAAAATCTTTTTAAAAAAATTAAAAAATCAAAAAATAAAAGGCGTTGCATTCAGAAAAGGAAAAATGGAGTTATATTACCTTTTTTCTCCAAAGTTGGCTAGATAGGTAGGTAGATGGATAGAAAGAAAGATATACAAAAGCCATCCCACAGTTCTTACAATGTAACCAACACTCTTCTCACTGAGAAATAGGATCCATGTTCCCTCTGCTTGGTCCGGTTGTGACTGTTCTGGCCAATGTGGCAGAAGGAATACTATGTGGCTTAGGGAACTAGGTCATAAAGAGGATACAGCTTCCACTTAGTTTACCCCCTTTTGCAATACTCACCCTTGGAAACCAGTCGCCACGTTGGTAGGAAGCCCAGGTCACATGAAGAAACCATGTGGAGGTATTAGCCTGAGCTAATGTCTCAGCTGGCAACATTAAATTGCCAGATACGTGAACGAGGAAGCCTTCAGATCATTCCAGTCCCCAGCTTTTATGCCAACATACATGACACCGAGCAGAACAGAGACAAGGTAATCCTGTTGAGCTCAGACCAGAGAGCAGATTCATGAGCAAAATAAATATTGTCAGTGTTTTAAACCACTAAGTTTTGGGGTAAATTGTATGCACTTATAGTAATTAAAACACTTTCAAGAGCCATAATTAAGAAAAGTTGTTAACAGACGTATGAGAGGTATGTCATCTGTAGCCAATTTTTTCTTCTTTTTCAAAATACACAGAACTAGTTTGGGGTGGATAATGGTTGGGAAGACCCACTTCTATTTCTCTTGAACTTAAAACAATACTGGCACAGTGTAGGTACTCAATAAACATTCGTTGGATGGATGGATAGATGTGGGGTGGGGGATGGGTAGTGGATGGAAATTCATTGGCTCAGCATCTAACCCACTTTCTTGCTCTACTGTTAAGTCTTAGTGAATGATATCCAGTGGCTATTGGTAGTACCATCATTATATCTAGGTAAGAAGTCCCCTGTCCCAGACCCCATGCCTCAACGAGTGCTGCATATTGGATCGGTATTCCTCAGACTTTTCCAAGCTCCTCTCCAAGGCCAACAATGCCACCTTGGAAGGGTGCCCCAATTCAGAAAAGGCCCCACATGGGTCTTGTAAGCTAGAAATTTCCACCCTGAAGTTTTCTAAGCTTCACTCCAGCGGTTGAGACTGGCCAGAGCCAGAACTGCCATCCAGGCAGAGTGATGCACTCCCAGACCCAAGTCCATCACCTGTGAGTCAATATTTATTTCCACTCTTTGAAGACCTCTTCAGCCTTCTGTCTTACCACCCCCCACCCCCAACACTTATGTGTGAGGTTGACCAGATGCCTTGAAGAGCTCCAGGACTTATATATATGGAATCATTCTGGAGTCTCATGGCCAGTTCTGGTTCCAGGAGGATAGCCTGGTGAGGAACTCACTCTTGCTAGCAGAATTTCTTTCACCAGTTTGTGTGAGATTGGGCTCCCAAAATGGTGTTGGCATGATGATTTTGGTGACTCTCACTCACATTGAAACCAGGACTCTGAGCATTGAATTGAGGACTCTGAGCTATCAATAGTCCACTGCAGATGCTTGGGCTAGAGTTGCATGATGTAGCCCTAAGTGTTGGTTTGCACCTCTGTGTTCAGGCCATGTTCAGATTGCTCTGACCTATTGCAGCCAGGGCGATGGGGGAGGGGAGTAGCAGAGGTCTTTTACTCTGTGTGATCTGCAGTCCCTTCCTCAGCTGGCCCCCAGGGACGTCACCTCACTCCCTTTGGCAGGAGTTGCTATGCCTATCTCCTCCAACGACTTGAAATGTTGCTCTGCAATAGTCATGCTCTTCCCATTGATGTACTTTCTTACCTCTGATGGACTTGATGGCATGGTGCTCTCATCATCTTAAGCCATACAGAAGTGGCTTAAGGGTGGATGTATCTTGTATGAATGGGACTGCTCTTCTTGCAGACCCCTTTCCTGTGCTCCCTGCTGGTGGTGGTATGTGGAAGGTGAGTGTGGTCAGCATTGAAATCAATCACATTTTAGGAACACAGTGGTTACTGCCTGAAGAGTTCAAGACATGATGGGAAGATGTGTTGTCCATGTTTATGAAACAATATT